TGCACCTGTGTGCGTCTTTCTCACTCCCTGTTCTCCATTTGCTTTGCCCACAGTCATGGGCAGAGGCATCTCGCCTCCTTTCCACACCATAGGTCACGGAATATAGGCCCCCAGACCCCAGGCTGCAGACCCCGCAGATCTACCGCAGGGAGACCTGCCTCCCACCCCTCCGCGGAAGGTTTCGCATGCAGTGTTTGCTCTACAGAGGGACAGCCGGTTGAACTGAATTTCTATCTGTGCCTAATTTACCCAATGCCCGTGGAGGGGCTGGGCTAGGGCATTTGGGTGCACCTGGGTGGAATCAGGCACTGGGGGTGGGGGTGGGAGGCTGGGATTTCCGTTGTATTGTTGCGGGAGTCCCCAAGCTTAGGCATGAAGAGGGCCTGCTTTGGAGCCCAGGTTCTGCGCTTTTAGGCTCAAGGTCTTTATTTCATAAAGTACTCCATCGTCGGTTTTGTCGGTGTGGACGCACTGGCTTCGGGGGGGCCCTATAGGAGGAGCCGGCCGGGGGGAGGGGGAAGGCAGTCCTGAGTGTGTTTCCGGGTTATCACCAAGACGTGGGCCGGTGGCCCCAGACCGCTTCTGCGCAGGACCGGGAGTGCTTGCGCAGCAAGGTGCTTAACCCGGGCGTCCCCTCCTGCTGTCCCGCGCATCTTACCACGCACGGAGCCCGAGGAGCGTCTGGGAGGCCCGCAGGACTCGGCGGGGCAAAGGGCAGGGCCCGGAGGATAAGGTGCTCTGATTATTAAAGAGCCCGAACATGTCCCTTAAGGAGGAGTCTATACATCATCAGGGTTACAGTCACGGTTCATTTGGGGGCCGTTTTCAAAGTGCTTTGTGAAATGCTATGAATTTAAAAAAGAACAATACTGACGATATTCCCTTCGCCTTTGCCAGGACTCCAGCTTCGGGCGGCCCTAAGCGGAGAAGGGACGCCTTACTGCCCGCGCTGGCTCCCGCCAGCGACCTCTCCTCCCAGGCCGGCCGCCCGCGTGCTGCGAAGCATTTTCTCCGTCCCTTTCTGTCCACCGAGGCTGCTGCAGCCAGCGCAAGGATGGCTCCACCGGGTGGTCTCCGCGGAAGACTGCCAGTGGCCTCTCCCCCCGCCCCCAGACTCCTGGGAGACCCCCGCCCCGCAGCCTCCTGAGGCAGCTCCCGGGCTGAGAGACCACCAAGACCCTTTACCTGATCAGAGGGGAACGCACTCTTGGAGATAGTTCAGTGAGCCGGCGCTCCGGCTGAGACCCGTGCGTAACACTCCCTCTCGCTCTTGCACACGCCGGGACCGGAATCCAGCCGGGCGCTGGGCGCCGCAAAGAGCGAGTGGCCTGCAGGTTTCAGCCAACTGGAGTGCTGCACATCGTGCCCCGCTCCCCGCAGCTTCTGGAGCGGGGTTTGACGAAGCGAGGCGAGCGCAGCAGCCGGGGACTCCCCAACAGGTAGCCGAAGTCGCGGGGCTGGGCACCGTGGCTGCAGCGTGCGCTGGGCCGTCTCTGGCTCCCTGGCACCCACCCCCGCCCCCGCCGCCTGCTCCCTCCCTTCTTCCGCAGGCTCGAGAGAGGCCTCCCTTGCCCTAACGCGACAAAGAGAATGGGGGCGGGGAGGGGGTCGAGGGCGGAGACCACCGGCCTGCACTGAACTCAAGTTCCGTGGTAAAGCCTCTCCCCCGACCCCCACCCCAGACGGCTCCTGCAGTTGCTGGGGCGACCTCATTCTTCTCCCACTTTGAAGCTGTTTAGGGACCGGGAGGAAGGCGCAGGAGGGATTTCAGCCTTTCCCTCTCCTTCCACCATTGCGTCCCCCGCCCCCCGCCCCAGCCCTACGCGGAATAACTGGAAGGGAAGGGGAGGAAAGGTTGGCACGGGTCCCCACTGGATGCTTTAAACATGCCCGGGCCCAGGCCCGCGCCGGGGAGGGGCGGGGGGGCGGGGGGCGAGGCGGCGGTCGCCAGCTCTGCCCTTACTCCAAGTTCACGACAAGGCGTCCCGCGTTTCATTCGCAGCTGTCGCTCCAAGGTTCCTATCACAATGGGTGGAGCGCAGAGAGCTTCCCCCGAAGGAGCCCTCTCGCGAAACCGCCGCACTGGGGACCTTGAATAAGACTTTGGGGCCGGGGACGAGGGAGCCGGGGCAGGGAGGGCCGCGTACCCGGGGGGAGGGGAGCCCGGGGGGCTTCCTGGGCAAGGGGCTCTTTCTCGCCGCTAGGGCAGCTTCCGGCCCTGGGCGCGGGGTCGCGGGGAAGCGGGGTGGATTCGCGGTCCTGGGAGGCGGGAAACGTTAGCCTATAGGCGTGGGAGACCCTAAAGACGGAGCCTGGCCTCGCTCTGGCTTTTGCTGCGGCCTCCAGAGGCCATGTCTACCCACTCCGCTGCTGCCCGCCTCTTGGGCCTCCAGAAGCCCAGTGAAATCCACCTGTTTTGGAGTTGGAAGCGGTTTCGGTCCCAGAGCCCGCATAGCCCCGATCCCCGAATGCTGCTTCGCGGGCCGCCGAGGCTCCGGGGCAGGCGGAGGAGGAGGGAGGGGAAGGGCGCAGCGGGGCGGCTCTGAGGACAACTCCACCTCGGTGCCCCGGGGGTCTGCGTGTGCGCCTCCGCATTGCGTGTCCCTGAAAATGGCACGAATCTGCCCACACGTTTGTATGAATAATGTTGGCAACACGCGACTCCCCTGCAGCTGAGCCTCGTCCTCGCTGGAAGCGGATGGTGGACACAGGTGGATTTTGTTCAAGCGCACGCACACAATTAAAGCTGGGGTTTGGGAAGGGATTCCATAAAAGGGGTTTTAATACAAAACGAAATTAAATATTTTTCGCGCAGGTTGCATGCACGTAAATCGGAAAGAAAAAAAAAAAAAAAAAACGTGGCGGGTGCACCGCTAATTGTGACGGCGAGAGAGAGAACCACGAATACGCGGACAGGGCACAGGGGCCGCCTGAGCCGCGCTCTTCCAGCCCGGCCCGCCCGGATCTCCTTCCAAGGCCGACGGTTCGCACCGCCCTCCCTGCCTTCCCCCTTCTTCGGCGAGGCCACATCGAGCCATCTGCCGGCGCCCCGGCCGAATTCCAGCCTCAGAGGCCGGCGGTCCGGGGCGGCGCGAATCCGGCGCGCCCGGCGCGCGTTCCCTAGCTGCCGGGAGGGGGCGCCCTTGCCTTTTTAATAGTTCCACGCACGCCGGTAGCATGATAAATTTCTCAAACCCCCAATCTTTGTTTGCTATGAAATCATTGCGAGCGAAAAATAAAAGAGCCCCGCAACTTTAAGTCCTGAGAGTGAAGTGAAGGAATCAGATCCCTGGGGGTCCAGAGGCCTCCAACCCTCGACGGGCCTCTACAGGGCTGCCTCCCAGGACCTCCTTGTGTCTTCTCAAGTGTCCGCTTCTCACGTGAGGAACCCGCACCCTAACCCCCATTTACCGCGCGCCCTTCCCAGAGGCGCACCCGCGCGGAAGTCCCTCTCCCCTCCTCGGGGCGGCGATGGAGAGGTTTGTGGAGCCCCAGGACGAAGCACCAGCCCTGTGAAAGGCCGCCCACGTGGGGCTTCTCTCGAAGGCGAGCGCGGAAGGCAGAAGTGACCTCCTCTGCTCGAGGCCCGAAGCAGAGCGGGGCCACAGAGCTCCGCAGGGTTTTCTTCCATCATGAGATGGCCCCCAGTCCGCTCTCCCCACGAGATGCACAGCCTCTGCCACGCATGCGGGAGGCTGCCCGCTCAGCCCCGGGCTCCAGATTTAGAAGCTTCTAGGGTCGCTTCCCATCTCACCCCCCACCCCACCCCGAGGAGCCAGGGCTGGGATCCCACCCGACCACGGGCCGCAGACACTGTGATTCCCTGGCTTCGAGTTTCCTGGAAAACCATGAGCCCGCTCCCCGAACAAAAGGCCCTGGAGACGGTGCCAGAGTCCGCGGGCTTCGGAGCAGCGGGGTCTCCGGGCTGCGGGGCGGCGCGTTTGCAGGGACCCCCGCCTCAACGCAGGCTGCAGGCAAGTGCGGCGCAACTCGGCTGGCTCTGCTGTGCGCCCCAGGCAGCAAGTTCCGCTGGGCACTGGGCCCAGGTACACGACATCAGGGAACTGGCACAGACGTGGAAACCCCGTGTCCCTCTCAGGTTCTCGGCCCTGCACAAAGCCGGTTTACCCCCAAGTTCCCGGAATCCTGCCTTTTGGGACCCCGTATAACGAAGCTGGGAGTTGGCACCACTGTGCCGCGCACCCACCCAGGACGCAGGGTCTCTGGACTGAGCCGTCACAAAGAGAAAAGGGAGGCGAGGTCGGCAGCCACCTTCTCACCAGCTGCCAGCGGCCATGCCCCGCTCTGAGCCCGTTCTTCGTGCTTCAGCCAACAGCTAGGTTTTCACCCCCCCCCAAAACGGGCCTGCGCTTCTCCCAGGCCTGGGGCCCACACGCACCTTGGAGTCTTGTGGGAGGACACAGAAGGGAAAATGGGTGGTGAAAGGGCCATTTTCTGGTGTCCTCTCTGGCCAAGCCACCCCCTCCCCCTGCGAGTTTGGCAGGCATGGCGGATAGGGTGGGACACTGTTCTCTCCTTTGGGAAGAGCCCTGTGTGCAAAGCCACAAATAATCTATGTCATGAGGTTCCCACAGGCTCCACAAACTATGGCCTGCTTGGGTCAGAACCACCAGAACGCTGAGGGAGACTTGGCGCCTGCAGGGAGAGCAATGTTGAAATATCCAGGTGCTTTCTCAAACTCCGCTGCTTCCAGGGTAGAACCAGGCAGTCCCTCCGTTGCCACACCACTGCAAAATCTGAATTAGGGACGGGGACTTCCAGAGGGCATAACCTGGGGGGTGGGCAGGGAGGGAGGCAGAGGCACCACCTCCCCCCCGCAGTGTGGTCCATCCTGCCCAGGCATCATCCAGAAAAATAGGAAGTGGGCAAATCTGCCTCCTCCTCTCCCCGTCTTGCTGCTGTCGGTGGGGTGGGAGTGCAGATGGGGGGGGGGGTCTGAGAGGAAGCAGCCCTGCAGAGGGATCTCCTTCCAAGTTTATTTATAATCAGCTTAATAGAAAGCGGCTTCTAAAGTGCTCTACAGAGCTCCAGATAGAAAACATGAGACTAATTATCACGGCAACTAGTACTGGTTATTATGATTATCCCCACTGTTAGGGTGAGTGATTATGACTGGGTCAGGTTTTGGGGAACCCTGGTGGAGTGGGCTGCAACTCCTGGCACATTCGGGGGTCACAGGTGCCCCCGAGGATAAGTCCGTGAACCAGAGGTTTGGGAAGGGTGTCGCCTGGCGGGGGGCCCTCAGCAGAGTCCTCAGCCCCCACCCTGGCCCTGGTAGGCTCCGGGTCTCCCCAGGACAGCCCCCACCTCCCCTCCCCCCACCCTCACGGGGTAGCACTGGTCTTGACCTTAGCCAGAACCTTCTTCTCCTTGACCCGCCGGTTCTGAAACCAGATGGTGATCTGGCGCTCAGAGAGGCTGGTGGCCGCCGAGATCTTGCGCCTCTTGTCCTTGGTGATGAACTTGTTAGCCGCGTACTCGCGCTCCAGCTCGCGCAGCTGCCCTTTGCTGTAGGGAATGCGCTTCTTGCGGCCCCGGCGGAAAGCACAGCCGTCAGGTGGGTGCTGCGCGCTGGCGTCTGGGCGGCAGGAAAGGGAAGGAGAAAGAGGAACGCTGAGACCCCCCCCCACACCTGGCACAAACCCAAGCACAGACCCAGGCCCAGCACAAGTCCCAAGGCTTAACCGTCCTGCAGACACACTGCAGGTCACCCCCCCTCCCTCCCCAGGAGCCTACGTTTGCGCTCCCACTCCCCGGGAGTACGGGGGGGGGGGGAGCTCCAGTTTCTGGCTGGATCACTGCTCAGGTTCACCTTGGGCTCCCGCAGGCCACCCCCAATGCTCACTGCTCTCACACAGTGGGGTCTGCAAACACGCACCACACACACGCGACCAGGCCTTCTCCCACCATCACACTCATCCACGCTCCCACCGTTAAAGACTGCCACCATGATAGATTCTGCAGGCAAATTCTATACAGGAGGAAATGTGTTGCTGCCTTACTCCCAACACACACACACACACTCACACCAGTGCGCACACCGAGGCACACCCCAATACACACACCTAAGTCATGGGTGCAGGAAACACACATTTTCCTTTGGAAATTGAAAATTTTAACCAAGGAAAACCAAGGGGTTGTATTATTTACAGAAAATCCAGTACCTGCCGTCCCAGCACCGCACTCACTGAGTTGAGAGTAAAACAGCCTTTGTGTGGAATCCATCGGCTGTTGTGCTGGGTGGCTCTCCTGTTCCCACCCAAGAGATCCTAGGCTCTCTGACATATTGAAAGTCCAGCCCCGGGGCCTCAGGGCAGTGAGGGGGACAGGCAGGCCCCTGGGCTTCAGACAGCACCAACCTCTCACATCGACCCCCTGGGGCCTCCCTCAGGCCCTCCAGCAGCCCCGACCCTCTGTTAAGAGCACTACTAGGCAAATGAAGGGGGACCAAGCTGCTCCTCACCAGCCCCAAGTCCCCCTCCACCTCCTCCTCCTTCCAGGCAGGTGCCAGCTGGGCTCAGGCTCAGAGCCCGCGGGACGCAGGGGAGCGCAGCTTACCTGCAAATGCTGCCTTCCAGAAGGGACCCGGTGGGTTCTGTTCTCCCTGGCAGCACATCTGGCTGTTCCAGCCTCCGGCGAGGGCCCAGGGCTGGTAACTGTCCACGGGCAGCAGCGAGTCGTGGCGAGGCTCTCCAGGGGCGCCCAGGGTCTGCACCACCGACACATCCAGGTAGCTGGCCATAGGCTGGTAGGGTCCTGGGTACCCCGGATAGAAGGCAAACTCGGTGGGGCGGCTGGGGTACTCCTCTCCGGCCGCAGGGGTCTCCGCGGGGTAGGCAGCCAGGCTGGGTGCCTGGGCGCAGGATTTCAGCGAGCTCCGGGACACTCGGCAGGAATAGTACCCGCCTCCAAAGTAGCCGTAAGGCACAGGAGCTGGGGACGCCCCCTGGGGCACCCCGGGGCACGGGTGGCACTGTTTGGGTGGCTCCGCAGGGCCTGGCAGATCCAGGGGCGCATAGTTGACAGCCGGCATCAGCGCTGGCGCCGCCGGGTGGCTGCTCAGAGGGGAGTGGGCAACTAGATTCCGACCCCCTCCGGCTCCCAGCAGGCCTTCGATATCCTTGGCTCCGTCCAAGGTGGCATAATTGCCGGACTCCATGGGGCCGAGGGTAGGCTCATGGGGTGCTGGGGGTGGGGGATCTAGGGGGTGTCCAGCTCGCTCTTCCCACCCGGGCCCGGGGAATCCAAAGCGTTTTAAACAGATCCCAGCTCGCCAGGCGTCTGCTTTCGCTCGGCCGGGCCGTCCTGACGCAGGCGACGCTGGGGCCCGGGCACGCGCGCTGATTGGCTGCGGCCGAGGGGAGAGAGGCTCATAAAATCCTCAGGGCCGAAATTGCGGAGAGCTAGGGGACAAGGCGCCGGGCCCCACCTCCTTCGCCTCGGCTCTCTCCCTCTCCCGGGCTCTCTGTCTCCTGCGCTTTGGCAGGTTTAACGAGAGAATAAAAAGCTCTCCCAATAAAGTGTCCATCTCTTGGGGGGGAAGGGGAGTCGGAGGAGGGGGGTGGGGCTGGGAGGCCGCTCTTGGACGCACAGGAGAGGAAGAGGAAGCTGGGGACTGGGAGTGACTGGTATTTCTGGAAGCCCCTTTTTTTGGGTCGTGCGTACTAGCATGCCAGTTTATGCCAAGTGCCCCCTTCTTCCCAGGTGCACTTTAATGAGCTGCTCTGGGAAGTGCCCGGGACGCCCCTTACCCAGGGGCCCGCAGCTACTGCCCCCAAAGCTCTGGAGGCCCCGCTGTTCTGGAGCCCGGGGCCAGCAGGCCAGCAGCGCCCGACTTGAAGGGGACACCGAGCCTCTAGATGCGCCCTGGGGGGCACGGGACAGAGAAAGAGATACAGACAGGGACCTGCATGACCACCGAGGGGCGGAGAGGGGAGATTCAGGAACTGCAGCACAGAGAGGGAAAGAAAGTGGAAAGAGGGAATCGGATAGGATCCCATAAACCCCGGAAGGTCCGCCTGGAGGAAAAGAGAACCCCTTTCCCTCCTTTTCTGGAATCTAATGAAGGCCGGGGAAGCCACGCGGCAGCCTGGCAGGGTGGGGAGGCTGGGCTTTTCTGCCCAGTGCTTCTCCCTCTAGGGTCTGGAGGCCCAGGCATCCGGCCCTGGCCCTGGCCCTGGCACACCTCCTGAATGACCAGAAGGCCCGGGACCCCTACTGCCTCTTCTGAGCTGTAAATTTCCTTAGTGGAAAAAGGGGGGAGAAGAGAGGGCTCACTGGCCCACGGCTGGCAGAACTGTTAGAGGCCCCATCCCGGGGGCCTTTTGTGCAGCAAGGTTCAGAGGACTAAGTTTGTTCCGCAAATCTGTCTTTAGTGGTTTTCTGTTTCCTTGACTATTCCCAAATCAAATCCTTCTGTGAGCTTTTTCTAGAACCCCCAGTTTTTCCAAAAAAGACAGGAACTTTCTGCTCAACACCAGGGTCTTGGCAATGATATGGAACAGCCCACCAGGAGCTATATGTGAATTCAGCTATGACACACACACCCCCCCATCTGAACTTGAACTTGACCCACCTTGTGGAAAAAGACTCACGCAAAGCTGGAGCGGCTCCACACTGCAGGGCTGGAGTGGAGAATGCAGAGCACGCTCCATGAAGATTACTAATAACTTAGGGCAGCCAGCTCAGAATCCTCACTATTTTACTGCATTTGAAAACTACAACTACGCTTGCCAGTTTTCATCATAACTCTTGCTTACTTAATTATAAAAGGCAGATATGCCAGGATTTTTACCTGTGGACTAGGACTTGTTGTTTTAAACTTCTGGATATAACTGGCATGTTGATAGTTTTAGCTTCCACTAGGCAAACATATATGTTACATGTGTAGATGTGCAGGTAGAACTTGTGCACGTAAATTAATTCTTGCCTGTACTGCATGAATAGATTCCTGAATTAAAAATTAAAAACTAATCATCACAGCCATACCTGATGACCCAGCAATCCATACCTGGGTGTAAACCCCACAGAAATGAGTGTATTAATGTCTACCAAAAAACAGGTACAGAGGTCCATAGGAGCTTATCCCTAATAGCTCCAAACTAGAAAAAACTCAAATGTCCGTCAGCTGTAGGGTGGTAAAGAGGTCACACTAGAATTAAAAAATGGACAACAAGCAATAAACAAGAGCAAACCACTGCTACATACAACACAGATACAGAGGCGGAAGAAACCATACACAAAAGACTACCCTCTGCTGGATTCCATTGCTCTGCAGTTGAAGAACAAGCAAAAGTGTGTGGCTCTAGATAGAAATTTCTAGAACAGAAATTGCCCTGGGAGGAAGCTCCTGACTGGGGGTGGACCTGCGCTGGGTACTGGGAACAGTTTCAGCCTCAGTCTAGATGCTCCTGACGTGGGTGTGTTCCCCTGCGAAAGCTATCAAGCTATACACTTGGGATTTTTGCAGCTCAGTTATATCTGAATTTTCAAAAGGAAAGCTAATGAAAACCAAAACTTTAAAAATTCCTAGCAACACTGCCTGAAACTGAACTTTTGGAATGTGTAGTGTTCTGAGCTGTTAGGATATATGGTGTTCTTACCCACGTCAATGGGACGAAGCAGCCAAGTGTATGCTGCGCAATGCAGAGATGACCTAGTTAAAGGAGCCCAGAGAAGCCCACCAGCTGGGGAGCTGGAGACCCCTACGTACACAGCTGCATTTCAATACAGGGAAATACTATGATTTTTGTTTGATTTGGGTTACTGTACAAATTTTGTGTCATCTACTGGGTTGCAGGGAAGAGTTCTGGATCTCGTATTTATTAATGGGTGTGTGCCCTGGACATGCAATCCGGTTGAGTTAGACAACTCAATCGGGTTGAGTTAGAATTAAGTCTCCTTATTTATAAAATGGGGGTAACGATCCCTACCTCACAGGAATACAGCGATGACATAACACACAAAAGCAGTTCATAAACCCAATGTGAGTTCTCTTTGTGTTCCTGAATGTGTGTCTACTTCTAATGAAACTACCTGCTTTTGTTTGAAAAGGACAGCTGCCCTTAAGACCGCCGCCCCGGACGCTGTGTAAGCTCTAAGTTCCCGCGTAGAGAAACTGAGGCTCAGAGCTCGCTAGGGCTCTACTGGAGTCCCGGGCTGAAATCCCTGCACCAGCCCAGGTGTCCTGCTGGCCCTGCCTGCCCTACCCCCAGCCCCTCAGACCCCTTTGTGTCCCCCTGGCAGGCCGAGCTGGAGGAGCCTCCCCAGCCCCCTTTGGGGAGCCAGCCAAAGAGCTGAAAGCCGTGGCTCGCTCCTTTACATACCCGCCAGACACCCAGGAAGGTCAAGGCCAAGTTGAAAGTTAAGAGTCTGTTTACCTCCGGGAGCCCATTCAGCGCGGCCCCGTAGACCGCCTGTGACCTTTACAGCCCTGCCTTTGAGCGCGGCCGCCGCGCCCCCGGGGGTTCCGGCCACGGGGACTTGGCACCTCCGTGTCAGCTCCCGCCCCCGCCCCTCCCGGGCTCGGAACCCCCAAGGAGGAGGAGGGGGCCAGAGGCGCCCACCCACTGCAGCCGGGAATGGGAGTTGGGGAAGCATTCGTTAAATGATGTTTCATTTTTTGTAAAGGGAGAGTCCGCTGCCTTCGTTCTCCGGACTGGGACGACCCAAGGGGTGGCGGTGCTGGCGGCCCCGAGGCCGGGAGCGAGGAGTCTGGAGGATTTCTCTGCGCCGACGACTCTTCTGGGGAAAGGGCCAGGCCGGCAGTGGCGCCGGAGCGCTGAGTCCAAACCTTTCCCTCGGTTTTATGAAAGGATCTAATTGCGGGGTGGGGGATGCTTTTTGTCTTCCACTCTTTTCTCTCGTCCTGTCTGTATTTCCTCTCTTGCGGTTAGTCACCGGGTGTGTTTCTTTTCTTCTTTATCTCTGTGTTTTGCTCCCCGCCCGGCCCGTCTTGCCTTCCAAGTCTGAGCTCTTGATTTTGCGCGTTCTTTCTTGATTTCCCTTCTTTCTGATTCTCTTGGTCGCTTACCTCCTGGCTTTGCCACCGGTGCCTGTATTTTTCCTTTGTTTCCTTTCTCCCGGTGTGTTACATTCTCTTCTCCTGTTGGCTTTTTCTTCCTCTCATTTTTCTCTTTCGTTTTCTGTTTTCCTCCCTCTTCCTTTTCTTTCTCTCTCATCCATTTTTTCCTGTTTTCTCTCCATTTTACTCTGTTCCCGTCCTCACTGCCCCCCTCCCCCCAAAAAAAGACACATACACATTCAGTTTTCCTTTGCAAGTCAACGATTTTCCATTGTTTTTCTCTAAGTCGGGGAAGGGCCCGCGGCCCCAGCTCCCACCCTGCAATTGGTAGGGGTCGGCATGGCAGGGCCTTGCTAGGATGCCGGGTGCCTTGGACCCTGTTCCAATGCAGTCAGGTGGGGCCTCTCCAGGTCTAGGGGAAAATCCTTTGGGCAGTTTGACCACGGACTCTGGGAGCTACAAGAGCCTACAGGGTAGAGACGCGGCTGCACCTCCAGTGTCTCTCGGCAGTTCAACAGTTCGGGCATTCTCAGGATGAGGACCCTCTCAGGACAAACCTGAGTGCCTCAGAGGCCAGGGCTGGGGGACCCGGCCACGAAATTAGAGCTAATCCTGGCCTTGAAACCTTGGAAGGAACCGATCTGGGGAGAAGTCAAAGGGCAGTTTGCTGAGGCGGAGGCTCCCTCCAACCACACAGCCAGCAGTAGCTGCGCCCCTGATGGCGCCGAGAACCTGGAGGAGCGCTTAGCCAAGCCCAGAGAACCGTGAGTGGGGTCTGCAGAGGAAGGAGGGAGGGAGGGAGGGAGGGAGAGGAAGAAGGGGCCAAGGCTGAGACCGAGAGCCACAGGTCCTCTGGTTCCTTAGAGAACCAGCCAGGAACAAGCAGTGCTGAGCAGGAACACTGACTGTCCAGCCCCCTCCTCCAACTCTGAGGGGAGTGGGACCCTCACCGCCCACCCCTGGCACCTAATCCAAGGAGGCCCAGCCTAGATCTGACCCAAACCATTAGGATTTCTGGGCCTGGCCAGCTGCAGCACAGAATGTGGGTGCACTGGGCAAAGCCCTGTCCCCTCTCTGCACTGTGAGAGGAAGGAGGGGCTGGATGAGCTGCCCTTCAAGTCACCATCGGTTCCAGTTGAGCAAAAGAGCATGGGGAAAGGGCATCAAAGGGGCTGAAAACCACGGAGGAGCCCACAAGGAGGCCACCGATTTTTCCACAAGGATCTAGGGCGGGATTCAGTGT